AAAAAAAAAAAAAAGAAAATAGCCTCGGTTAATCGATTATAAGTCAATACTTGTGCAAATTATAATGTATGTGCATTTTATTTCAGACTATGGCCGGTATTCATAGTCAGTTCTTATTTGAAGACTGTCTTAAGTAATGTCTTAAGATGCTAAAGCAGCCCTCTGATTGGTTCGTAACTCTTCAAGACTGAACTTAAGACGATCTTGAATATAAGAACTGACTATAAATACCGGCCTATGTGATTTATATAATGTGCCGTATTTCCAATGTAGCCTCAAAAATAATTTTTTTTCAAATAAAATAGGTGAATAACAAATGTCTAATAGTTGCTGTGCTTTTATATATTTATATATATATAACATAACATGTGTATATATACATATAATAATAATATATAATTCCTTAATAATCTCAATTTATATTACCTAATCTTAAATGGGAGAACTGATATAGTTAGTAAGCCTTTTTTAAATATTTATTCACATTCCTAAATAAAAAACATCAAACTTTAAATAAAACTATATATATCGTATATAATTCTTGCATTTATTCTACAATCAAAATAAACCTCCATCAAAAACGTCATATCCGATATCCGGTTTTACCCCACGACGGCTCGTTGTCTATCTCTGTATAGTATCTCTACACAACCACAGTATATATGTGACACAACGATGGCTCTTTGTCGCACACTTTCTCTGTCAACATGTCAACGTCACGATTTTTAGGGGAAACCGTATGAATGCTCGGTCTAGGTATATATGTCGTTGGTATACGCAAATATCAAGTTGCGAATAATCGCAACAGAAAATCTCTAGAGCACTATTCTCGACACTCGTAAGTACTGTCGTATACGCAATTTATTATTCGTAATGCAACGAATAGATCACCCCATACTTTTCTCTTGAAACGTATACGTTATTATATTCAACGTGACCCAATCCGCCCAGATTCAGCCTTTGAGCCGATTAATATTTTGGAAGAAGAAGAGTGGAGATACGTCGGAAAGACGAGGTGAGTGATGTTAATGTATATACGTGCACATCTTAATAGTTAATAAATAAATAAATAAAATTTAAAAAAATTAATCTATAAATATGTAATGATTTATTTGTTCCACGCCGTTTCACGTGTACTCACGCCGTAAATAGAAGAGGAAGCGTGGAGTAAAATATTTAATTTAAATAAAAAATGAATCTCAACGATATAAGATTAAATGTACCAATTATAAATGCATTACAAAATGCAGAAATGGCAGAACAACACGAAGAAGAATTTTTTATATTAGTGACGATCCCTTTGAATTACCTATAATGAACAATTTATTACATTGTTTCGTTTAAGTAAAGCTGCAGCAAGATACCTTATTGAACTTGTTGAACCACATTTAACTCCTCAAACAAGAATATCCTCAATCGATTCCACGACTAAGGTAATTATATTCCAAAATTTATAACACATACACGTATATGATAAACATAAACAATAAACTATTTTTATAAACTATAAACTATTTTTCTACAGGTAATTACAGCGTTGCGATTTTTTGCGAGTGGTTCTTATTAGATGGATATTGGAAAAAATATTTATATGGCTGTCAGTCAACCAACAGTTTCCCGTTGTATTCACGAAGTAATAGATGTAATAACGAGACAGGAAATCATGAACCACTGGATTAAATTTCCTTCTACTCTTGCAGAAATGAATGAAATGCGAATATAGTAAGAATAAAAAAAAATTTTTTAAAAGTAAAATATAATAAAACAAAAAATAAAATATATTGTTTATATATAGAATATTTTTAAAGAAATATGTGAAAATTTTTTTTAAAACTCTAATATTTACCTTATTATATGCATATGAATATAATAAGGCCCAAATAAAGAATAAATTAAATATAATAAAAAGTCAAACAATACCTTTCGAAATCAGTTTAAATGATCATTAATCTCATAAGAAGGAATTTCTTTAGGATTTATTGTACTGTACTCTTACTATACTTATTCTACCTTGTACTACAATATAAATATTATATTTACGTTTTTTTTTTAGATTTTACAGAAGATTTGAATTTCCTGGCACTATAGGATGTATCGATTGCACACATATTGCTATCTTTCCTCCGTCAGGAAATAATAATCCTGAACACATATATGTAAACAGGAAAGGATTGTCTTTGAATTTCGATGGTCCAATATAAATCGTAATTTTAAGAAAAGATATCACTCAATTAATACTCAAATAGTAATAATAATTTTAATTTACATATATATGTATATGTATATTATTTATTATACATGTATATTTAATGAACTACATACATTTTTTAATCTTACAAATGTTTATTACAATTATACATTGCATTTCGTTATAGGTCTGTGATTGGCGTTTAAAGATTATGAATATAAATGCCCGTTACCCTGGTAGTACTCACGATGCTTACATTTGGAATAATTCCAATGTAAAGAATGCAATCCACCTGTATAGACGATACCCGAATAATAATTTTTATTTAGTAGGTAAGATCACGTACAATTTAGTACATAGTATAAACATAAAGTATAAAAAAAATTAGGTTCAGTAAGTAGATAACGAACTTTTTTTAGTATATAATATGCTGCACAATCAGCTAATTAAAGGTTCAAACACTTAAATGAATTTTGTTAGGCATTGCTAATTTAATATAAACATTAATCTCCTAAGAATTACCAAAAAAACAATTTCTTCTATTGGATAAAATATGGAATACACTACAAATCTCACTTAAGAAAAGTTTTGCAACTTCTCTTCAGTCAACTATACCCTGCTGTCTCAATCATTGTTATATTTTTTTTTACACGTACTACATATTACAAATGTATAATTAATAATAAATATTAATTTTTTTATATTAATTTTTATATTACAATATTTTTGTTTGTAGGTGATTCGGGATATTCCTTAAGACCATGGATGATGACTCCTATAATAGATGCACCAGAAAATAGTCCAGAAGCAGCATCCCAGATAGCCAAATTTGCTAAAAACAGATCTTGTAAAATCTTGTTGCAAACCTTGTTAGCAGAAAGAATAAAAATTGGCAACAAGATTTGATATATCAAATAATGTTGACAATTCGCTAACAAATATGTAACGAAATTTGATGTCATAATTTGGCAGCAAATTGGTAGCAAAATGCGGGCAAATATATTCATACAAATTGGCAACAAATTGGCGACAAACTTTGCGTAGTGCTGTTTGACGACAAATTGGCACCAAATTGGTAGTTAGCTTTGCATAGCATTATTTGACGACAAATTAGCATCAAATTGGTAGCAAACTTTGCGTAGCGTTATTTGATGACAAATTTACAGCAAAAATTTGTCACTTTCATACATGGCTCCGACACGAGATGGACTTACTTCTCGTAAGAAGAAAACGTTCATGAGTCTGTATAAGAATTGATTTATGCAAATCGAATAAGCAAATCTGGAGATTCCCAAGCTCTTTTGGGATGTGATTCAGAGATTCTAAATCTCTGAAAATTTTTGACTATTTTATAACTTTCTCATGTGCATTTAGAAATGTGAAGCTAATCAAATCAATAATATTTTAGCAACAAAAATAAAACTGTATTGATTAATTTTTACACCAGTATATATCCACACAATTATGTATTATAACTAATGATCTGTTAAGGTGTAGATCACACAAAGACCATTTAAATGATTGTAAAATATCACATTTTGCTTGATTTTTGCTGTGAATTTGACGCTACGCAAAATTTGTTGCCAATTTGCTGCCAATTTGTCGTCAAACAGCGCTACTCAAAACTTGCTACCAATTTGGTACCAATTTGTCGCCAAACAGCGCTACACAAACCTTGCTATCAATTTGGTGCGAATTTGTCACCAAACAGCGCTACGCAAAGCTTGCTATCAATTTGGTGCCAATTTGCTGCCAAGTTTTGTAACGCAAGCTTTGCCTGCAAAACACAAGCTTATTGCTGACACAGATGGCACCGGATTTGCTACCAAACTTTGAACGAGTTTGATGCCAAATTGGTGCCAAATTGCTAGCAAATTGCTTACTGGGATATAATAAGAAGCAAATGAAAGTCCGCTCGTTAATAAAGCAATGTAATGGCCTGCTAAAAACGCGTTTAGATGCTTATTAAAGCATAGGGTATTGCATTATTCTCCACCAACAGCATCGAAAATTGTATATACATGTACTGTATTGCATAATATATGTGTCAGCGAAAATGTACCAATGCCATTAGATTTAAATGACCATGTTGAAGAATTTGACTTTGGAATGAATGTTAATAGAAATAACTATGAAGAAAATAATGTACCTGAAATAAATATTCGTAGAATCAATCCAGATATAGCAGCTGGTAGATTAAAACAGCGACAGATGATAAGAAATTATTTTTCTTAAGTAATAATAAAAATTAGTTAAACTGTCATATTTCAATTATATATTTATATATTTATACGTATATTTTAATATATTTTTGTCATGTATATAAACTACTCAACAAAATTAAAGGATCACTTGTTCCACCCTGCAAAAATAGGCAAACTTTGAGATAGAATAACTTCGTCAAAAATCATCGTATCGAGATGTTTAAAAAAGCATTTTAAAGCTTGAAATCTCTACTTTTCAGGCCTGTACTTCAAAAAACGGTCTTACTGATATTTCGTGAAGTTGCACAATCATAAATAAAAGTGTGTCAAACCTAAAAATTTTTTACAAAATTTGCCAAGTTCCACGAAGCCAAATAAAAATTGTGCACAAATGCGGTTTACAGCTTTCGAAAGAGCGAATCTTTACCTTCAATTTATTTTTTTTTTTTAGCTCTACGATTTTTTTTCACCGAGTTATTTAACGTTTACGTAAAAATGGCCTTTTTACCTTTAACGTTGAATAACTCGGTGAAAAAAAATCGCACAGAGCTCAACAAAAAAGCAAATTGAAGAGAAAGATTCACTCTTTCGAAAACTGTAAACCGCATTTGTGCACAATTTTTACTTGGCTCCGTGGAACTTCTCAAATTTCGTACAAAATTTTCAGGTTTTGACGCATTTTAATTTTTGTTTGTGTAACTTTACGAAATATCAGTAAGATCATTTTTTGGAATACCGTTCTAAAAAGTAGAGATTTCAAGCTTTAAAATGCTCTTTTAAACATCTCGATACGATGATTTTTGACGAAGTTATTTTATGTTGAAGTTTACCTGCAGTTTATTAACAAAATTAAAGTCATTTAAAATCAATGTTAAAAAGGATCAAATTCGAATTTCGCATATCTCCGCAAAGAATGGTCGCGAAGCGAAAAAGCGTTTTAAAACCATAATAAATTTCTTTAAATGTAAGTTAAATTCAACACTTTCTCTTAAAGATGGTTATTAATCATCACGTTAAAATCTTTTTCACTGAGTGATTTGAAGTAAATGTTGCATTTTTTAGTCTTTTCTCTAAAAAATTTTTTTAATTTTGCCGTCGGTATTAGCATTACCCGAGGTGTACCACGGGGAAGTTACAGGGTCGGACTTACACCTCGTGTGTGTGTGTGTGTGTGTGTGTGTGTGTGTGAGTAAATGCATTTTTTAAAATTGTGTATTACCGCCTCTCTGTTGAATCACTTCTTGACAGCGTATCCGCATGTTTATAAATCACTGGATTAAGTCTGAGGAATTTCACGCCAGATTAGATGGATTTCGTCAACGTATGGAACAGAATTAAGTCCTGATGGTGGTACAATCAGAATTTCTGTTCTTCGTCGCACAGAACTTGTGATCACAGAACTTATTTTATGCACTTCGCGTCGTGACGCTACCGCGTCACTTGATAATAAACATTAATTATAATTAATATTAATATTATATAACTATATGTTTATAATGCTTATTATTAATGATTATCATTGTTATAT